CCTCAAGTCGAAATAATTGTTTTTAAATTTGCCGCGCAAATGACTGAGTTAACAAATGACGAAAATATACCTCATCTACATAATGTAATGTAACAATGTTGTGCTTTACGGCAACGTTGCCCTAGCATTCAATAGATTTCTACTAATTTTTTCAGAATCTTAAAAGCTACTAAATGTATGTGAATGTATTTGGTAATTGATTTGCCACTTGTTGCCAAGCTGTTGCCTGGGTCTATAAAGATATTTCGTCCAGATAAGCAAAACATATAATTTTGTTACACTACTATACTAGGTCATACCTCAAATTTGAGCATTTTGATATGACATAAATTCAGCATTGATTGATTACAAGATAAGATACAAGAATCGTGTTAAAAGCCAACTACATAATATTACGTGTAGTTGCCATTCAAAACAAGAACAAAAAAACGAAATTTCAGCGTTCTGTTTGGGCTTTCAATAAAAAAAAAAAAAAAATAAACGCAATTATAAGAGTTTTGCCATTGGTTAAGTATTTGACAAATATTTACCAACAACAGAAGAATAACAACATATGCGCAAGTAAACAATATAATAACAATAATCGCATTCGAGATATGTATATGTGGGTATTTCATCAGGGCTCTGTTGTTTTGATCTTTGCTTCTTTTTTTTTTTGGTTTCCCTCTAGTTTCTAGTTCTATGCCTGCTGCGTCAAGTTCATGCAAAACTAACCCTTGAGCTGAGATCGTAAAAGACAGACACACACGCACCATAACTGACATCATGGGTTTTATGGGGTCTCCGTTCCCAGAGGCAAAACTATAATGCATATAAGCAAATACGTCTGTGGGCCTGGGTGTGCACCTACCTACCTACTTGGCCCAAAAAGCGTTTGGGATCGTTACCGTAGCTAAGTATTTAACCTACCTGCCACTGACGCGGCACTTTATCTAAGCGCCTGCGATAAGACAAACCAATCCAGAACCGCAGCCAGTACAAAAAACCCACCCACCCTCACAAAGAGCGCGCCTTTTCACACTCCCAGGCGACGACGCGTTGTTGTTGTTGTTGTTATTTTATCTGCGATCCAAAAAGAGATAAGATTTTTGGATATTTTTCTTAGATCGTCTTTATGTAATTTTCTCGGCTTCAATTGCCATACAAAAGTAGGTTTAATTCAATTTGCAGCGCTTTGCATTAGATTATTTAGCATATGTGCACGAGAGATTTTTCAGAATTTTCATATATCATGACATATACATATATCTAGACTTTTTTGTGCAGTTATAGTGTGGCATTAAATCGGATTTTGTTTGAAAGCGTTATCCACTTTTCAAGATTTCCATAGTCAGAATGGTAAACAAAAAGTTAAACGAACCTCGATTTAAATCAACTTGTGCGGTATAAAAAAAGTTATCGAATATCTTAAGTAAACTTAATCGAGTGCCTACATTCCAAATATGCGAACTTTAGGCATAAATGTTAGACATAGATCAAACTAGTTCATTGCTTTGATCAAGATATAAATAGGACATGTCGCCAATAAGTTTTAACATACTTTTAATAAGTAAAAGTTTCATTAGAAAATGCAGCTGTTGCACTTCATATACATATATATATATATTTATATATATATATATATAACGGCTCTCAAGTCAGCCAAGTAATTATTGATGATGCTGCTGGCTTGAATTTCTTGGCTATCAGGGCCGCCAAAGGGCGGGGTCTGATGTGTTTGGGCCTTAATCTTATCGCTGGGCAAACTTGGCAACTGGTAAAAGCAGAAATGTATATGTGCATTAGTATATATTATAAATATATATGTATAAATTAATATTATATATATGTATATATATATATATACATATATATATATGGATGAAATTCGAACTCGAGTAGAGATGGCGAGTAATTGAATAATATTTTTTTTGTGAGGCGCCTCTGGCACTCAAATTGTGAAGCCACGCACATCGACAAGGCGCCAGTTTTTCGCTTTCTTGGCCAAACGAAGGCGAATGTCATTGTGAGCTTCCATTGGACTTTGCCACTATTGAGAGAACACCGTTTCACTTTTCAATCAGGCCCAAACACAAATTCATATCAAGTTTGTTTAATGCCAACTTTGCGTTTAAGTTTTTGTCCATGACAAATTTGCTTGAAACTTTTCAAATCTTAGGACAAGCACGTAAGTTTGTCGGAAAAATGAAACAAATAAATAAAGAACAGTCTTAAACAGCTCCAAGCTAAGCTTAAAAGAAGCAACGATCAAGGACCACCTTGCTGACTTGTCACGCAGAGAGTCCTGCAAGACAAGCAAGAAGACAAGTCAGGGATCGCTTACAGAGCTCCTTCAATGTTGGCAAGATTTCGTCGCTTGCAAGGCCTTCAATCAAATTCCAAACGGGATGTGCAAGAAATATTATGCTAATGCTTATGATAGAGCCCTAATCGAAGCTCGAATAAAGTTAGTTAACCAAAACTCAAAGCCTAACCATATATTATTCAAGCATGATTCGGT